AGATTGGCTCATATAGCAAAAGATTACTTGTGGCAGAACTGCACCACAGAAACCAAACTTAGACAAATTTTTATATCTCTTTAATTTGATGTTTTCTGTTTTATCTATGGAACGTGATATGGTCACCACTCTGTATCTTCTTGAGTGTCCAAAGAAATTCCTCAAAGCATATTAAATCATATGTAATTATGCTAGCAGTAAAGAAAGGAAATATGATATGCGAAAGCTTAATCTTATAATTAATTTATTTAAGATGTCAAAAAAACTGCTGTAATTATTTTCTAAACTAGAATGAGAAGATTATCTTCTTTATTTATGCAAGCTGGCAGACATGTACAAACATTCCTATGTATTCTAAAACTATTATACAATTAAAAATTGTATATGCAGTAAATGTTTAATTGGCAGGGTATAACAATTATGAAATAACATATGGCTGTGAGAATCTGGAATAATGTCCACTAATGGTTGATGGGTTGCCTAGACGAAATTATGTGGAAGAGTGTTTTTGAAAGAGCAGATTTCTTAATTAAGTGCAACTAAACTTAAATATTGCATTGTTTATCATTTGCCAAGACTGTACAGTTATAAATTGGTAAGAACAGCTGGCATCATTGCTTGAATGCCACAAATATATAGTTTGTCAACATTTTTAGCAGCAAAAATGGTCTTTTGCAGAATGCTACATATTAAGTAATGTTTATCAAGTGTAAATTATTTAAGACTGTGATGCCCACTGGAACAGTGGATTCCCCACTGGACATCAATGGATCTGAATGTTCACGGGATGTGACTAAGGAATGAGAAATTGGTGTCCCAGACTGTAAAATAGTCTTGTCAGCTTTATTAACATGTAACATGAGGAAGCTGTTGTACTATTCTGCATTTTCATAGCATTTTCCTTTGTGTGAAGTGAGGTTATTTTATCTATATAAAAACCTCATCTGGTGCTATAAGGTGGTAGGCCTACTGTGGCCCACCCAGTGAGTCTCATTGCTAGAGTTTGCAAGCTGGATTCCCCCATTAGATTCAACATTAGATTCAGCTGTACAATGAAGAAACCACCAACTGTTAAATGAATTGTAAAGTGAGCACACCCAGTCACATATTGTACTTTGGATATTATTATCACAAACTACTTATTCATGAAAGCTTTCTTTTAAATGGACATCAAACCATCTGCTCTGCCTTAGAGCCTAGCTAGTTGCTAAGAGGGGCAATCAGATCAAATTAGATTAGATGAAGCTATTCAGTCTGAATTGTAATACTCAGTCATGTTACTAGCTTCTAACTCAATTGTTGTGGTCCAAGAATTGTGACACGGTTAGTCCTGTAATAATACTCTTGAAACTGAATATTAATTATGAGTGGGCTGTTAGTTATAGGAATTGAAGCTAGGTGCAATATTGTAATGATAATTAAGTCATCCTCAATATTTACAGATAATAGTGTGCTCTTTATTAATTATGTGAAATACTTGTTCATAATGATCAGTAAATCATACAGTTAAATAAATTGATGGTTCTCTGGAATCAGATGAATTGCTTCTGAATCTATCAATGTGTCAGGCTTTCTAAATAGTACAGACAAGAAACCAATATTATGACTATTGATATTTATCTATACTATAGCCTTTATCTGACTGTTGCCCTGGCTGCAGCTCTTCTTCCTTCTATCTCTCAACAATGCTCCCACAGACCATTCTACCATCCCACATTTATAATAACCTGATTATTGCATACTTTGTGACTCCTGTACTCTACAAAACAGCATTTTGTGGTTAGAGTCAGCTGGTTCACAGATTTTCTCTGCACTGATGTTGGAATTTTTCCAAGTATTTCAGTATATCAAGTACAGACTGTTCTAAAAATGGAATCAGGTGTAACCACAATTCAGAGTAAGAAAATTGTGTGATCAAGCCCCATTAGGAGTAGAACAGTATTGGGTCTAGAAATCACTTGATGTGAATAGCCATGGTCTAAAGCTTTTAGTGTTTCATTCTTGATGTTGAAGATTAATTTGTGTTGATTTAATTGTACAATTTGCAACTTGATAAAGCCTTCCATACATATTTGTAATTTAAAAGAGGGGGGAAGGCTGCAAGTATGTCAGTTTGATGTAGTTCTGCCAAGAGGTAAATTGAAATGACCTGATTCATGCAGTATTTCAATGAATAATAGGCTGGTGGATTCAGAAATTATGGGGATGGGCATGAAACTGGGCCAAACTTTGAACTCTGCTTTAGTCAGCAAAATGTCTTGGGCAGCATCATTTTAAAGTGCTAGAGGTTATCACCATGTGAGTACGGAAACTGAAATAAAATTTTGGCTTTGTGAGAATGCAGTAGGAAAAATAACTTTAGAGGATATATATAGATTATAAGCAAATTCAAACTGAAAAATAACTACTGGAAACTTCCAATATGTTAAACCTGACTCCACAAGAAAAATCTAACACCATCTGTAAGAGACCAGGTTTGGGAAGGCTGACCTGTTGGCAATTAGAATCTACTTTCTCTCTTTAGAGAAAACAAATAGTTGTAAATATGCTATGGACATTTTTTATTCAAAATGTTGATATTTGTAGTTAAGGGAGAATGGTGAGTGTTTAACACAGTTAAACATGTTCTGAAATCTCTGAGAGATAAAATGTGCACAAATGAATTATTGTCTTGATCTTTTCTAAATGATCTAGGATTAAAATTCTTTAAGGTAACTTTTATGTTGAACTTTTTGTATCCACAGAAGACGCAGCAACAGTAGCTGAAATGCCAGGAAAGAGTGAAGAATCAAAGAAACAAAGTCAGGATGCTGTAAGCAGTATTTCAGGTGCGTTGGATGTGGTGTCTATATTTGCTTTTGAAGACTTGTCTTCCCTCTTAGCATAAATAAAGATATTTGAAATTCCAGAAGCTTAATCATTCTCCAATGGCACAAAAGCTGAGTGGGATTTGGTGGAGGGCAGAATCTGAATAGCCCCATTTAGGATGCATGAAAATTGCTTGAGAAGGATTTATAAAGTAAGCCAATTTATACAAGGTATTCCTTTCTGAATTACTTTGTAATGACTCAATTAGCTTTCATTTCTTCACAAAGGAGATTTAGCTGCATAAATTAGCTTATCATCATTGAGGATGTGTCACTGCTAAAGGACAGTTTATAGATACAACATGCAGTTGCTGTCAAACCTATAAGAATGTAATATAGACATCTGTGTATACTTTGTGCTTGAGCAGAACAGACTTCTGTCATTCAGAGACTAACAGGGGACAACAGGTTGCCCAGGGGACCAACAATGTAGACATCTCTGAAAAGGTCATCTTGACACAGGCTCTGACAATCGACCCACAGCTCTGTCTTCTTTGATAAAAATCAGATAAACTTAAGACCACTAATTGATCTGCAGCCTGCTTAAATGTTGGCCATGCATATCTTCATTGCATATGATTATACTGCAGAAAGCAAATGAACCGGCCTAAGAAATGCCAGGCTCCAATGACTGCAGAAGGAAAGGTGATGGCGATATGAAAATTAGAAGGGAACAGCACTACCCAGGAATTGTAGTTGGGGGGGGGGGGCGAGGGAAGTCACTGCTGTCTTTTGTTGTGTTAGCAAGTTGCCTTGGTGTTAATCCACACTAAAGAAAGGAGTTGGGGAACTGGATCAGGTACCCTAGAATAGGACAACTTTTCTTAAAAGTATACTAACATTTGCTTTACTGGCATTACCATTTAGATACTTGGCTGACTTATGGATTTGGAAACCCAACACTTATTCCTTATCGAAACACATCCAAATCCCAGACATCAGCTGAATGCCTAGTGTGCTTTGTCACTCTGTCCTGAAAGAATGAACCTGAGGTTATCTTTTTCGTCATACTTCATACTTGCTCCACATCATTCTTCCACTGCTGTCAGAGAAAGGGTGGATGAGGAGTATGTTCAGGAAATTTCTTCACTGTACCCTTCCTGTTGTAGCATGTGGAAAGGAAACAGGCCTGACTTCCGGCCTCTGGCAGGAAACTATATGAACAGGTTGTTGTGGACAGTTTAGGCTAATGTTTGCTGCAAAGGAAACAAAGTTTTAAGTCATCAGATGTTGCTCTTAAAATGGACCACTACAATAGGTTAAGTAATATTTCTTATCATAGAAAAGTTACTCCCACTACTCCTCAAAACTTTTTGGAAACTTGGCATGCATTTACATGAACACAATATCAGCTGGCTTCACTTCAAGGCCTTTAGAACACAAAGCCTAAAGTCTATTCAGAAATGAACTAAAATATCATACGACAGAGTATTTAAGCATCACCTAGAATTTGTGATGCTCCTGACAGTACCTCCTTCTTGTGGAACACCATGGTTATCCACTTTGCCTTCCTCAAAAAGTACCAAAAGATAGTTCTGTTTAGATTCTATGTATTCAGCCACTATAGGATTGTCTTGATTTCAGTAGTCTTAATCTGTGTAGGATTGGAACTTCAGTGAACCGTAAGCATGAACTCTAAATAGTGTACATCACTCTTTCATAGAAAGGTTGTGCTAGGTAATAGTCTGTAGCCTCTAGGATTTCTCTGTTATTTATAAGGCTAATCCTGATAAATTTCAAATTCAACCATTGGATTAAGTTCTAGATCAAATAAATCTTGATAAATGGTGTTACAGTATATTTAGCAAGTTCAAACAAATGCTATTTGTTGCTTTCAATGGGTTTGTTTTAAACAATCTTTTTATAACTTAGCAGATATATGCTGCAGCACTGAGCTATCTATTTGTCAGTTGGCTTAGCATAAAGAATTAGATAGATTTAAAATATCAGATCTTTATATATTCTTGGATTCTTTAGGAGTACCATCATACATCGACCAAAGATCCACCATTTTAAACAATAGTCAGGAAGCTCACAAACCAGTATGATATGGTAGTTCTTTTGCAGTGGGATATACACAAATGAAATGAGAATACAGTTCCCAGAAAATTGGCAAAGGCTGAAGGATTTTGGAAGTTATTATGTCAGCATAACTGAAGGGTTCAGATTGACAACAATAAGTTGAGAAAATATGTCTCTTTGTTCAGCTCTACATGTGAAAGTCCAATTCTGATGAAAGTATAGCAATTGTATTGAAATATATTTATAGAACTCTTCTAATTTTAATAAATTGCTTGGAGAAATTCTTATTGAAAAATAAGTATTACAAATAAGTAGATAAATACACCTATCCATTATTGTCAATAGCTGCTGATGGATTTGTCCTTAATTGTCTAATCCCATGTTTAAAAAAATCTAACGTAGAAGCAACATCTTATTTTTCTGTATCATCTTCATAATTTTTATTCCTTTGCTGTTAACAGCAGATGGGGAATGAGGACCATGTAGAATGAACTTTGGAATACTTGCAATATAGATTTTGTACTGTTGCACTACATAAATAAAATAGGTTTGTTAGTCTTTTAATTTGCCTTCTGGCTCTTTTTCTTTTTCATTTATATGTTTTGTTAATAATTAGCTATTAGAAAGAAGAATGTAGAAAGCCTTTCTTTTAGAAACCACAATGTTGCCCAAATGCTTGATGTTTTGTAGGTAAAATGTTTCATTTTCAGTTAACAAACAGAGCAAGAGTTGGATACCATTGTATCTTACCAATACCCATTTTAATGTTTCCCCCTTGAATTTTTTTTTTTACTTTTATTCAGGTATGCAATGCTTTTTTCAATCCTTATGCTTACATATTATTTAGATGTCTAATTTTTCATGATGTAACTGAACAGATAATTTCTTGCAAACTAATTGACTTTTACGTTGATGCTTCTTTGTTGTGCAAGCTATAAAAATAAATGTAAGCCTTTGTTCCAGTTACTTCTAAAGGAAATCTTTTAATTAAAATGTTTTGAATAATTGTAAATTAATTAATCTTCCTTGTTTTGACTGCCTAATAAGGGTCCTGCAAACTGAGGCACAACTATCCATGTGTATGTAAATATTCTTCATTCTAGATATAACTATGTATTTATATTACATTCCTGTAATTCTGTAGTCCTTCTTCTGTATGAACTAAAAAGCCCAAAATGCCATAGCTTACCAACAAAGAATTGCCGTATTTTTTACTCCATAAGAAGCACCTGACCATAGGACACACCTAGATTTAGAGTAGGAAAACAATAAAAAAAAATCAGGCAGAGCCTGAGAGGACCACAGATAGGTGTGCTTTCATGTGCCAGCTCTGCCTATGACACCTGCACTGCAGAAAAGAGACAGAAGAGACAGGGTTTAGCATTGTAAAAGGTCCCCGCCACAACAACCCAGCTGCTATTCACAAAAGGACCGGCACCGGGCCACCATTGGGGACTCATGAGGTAATACACTTCACGGTATGTGATGCAATATTTGCTCCATAAGATGCACAGACATTTCCACCCACTTTTGGAGGGTTTTATGGAGAGAAAAATATGATATATATTTAAAGCCATAAAGTAAATATACTCCCTTTATTTATTTATCAGCATAAATACAACAAAAATATGATAGTTTATATACATGGAAGCAAAGAATTGGTTGTTATGCTTCTAATATTGGAATTGTAAGGAGAATTAATATGATGCTTATTTGGCACCATATCCTCTCTATATTGCGGTCTTAAAATGACCAAAATCCTATGAGATTGTCACATTTTTTTCTTTTTCTTATGAATTCTCAGGCAAGAAAACATGCAATCTGATAAGACCTCAATTTCTTAAAGTGAAAAAAAAAGACTTTTGAATACTTATGCTTTAGCATTTACAGCCTCACATGAAATTATATAATGCCTGAAAATATTGCTGACCCTGTTTGAAAGTAGTGTATATTTCAGCATTTCTCAAGTTACTGCAGCTGTGATAAGATAACTCTAACTGGATTCCTTCCAACTCTTCTAATTCTTATCCAGTGCAAAACTTTAAAATGTTGAATCACCATATCAGAAGTTCCACAAACATTCCAGAGTGCCCATTTCTCCCAACATCTGTGGACTGACATTCGTCCAAATATTATGCTAATTACAGCTGTTGTATAAAAATAATATATAATCAAGCTTAATTTGCCTGCACATGGTGTTGAAAGAGTGACCTGTCTGTATCATAAAATATTAATATTTTGTCTTAACATTTTTATGAGCTGACTTTTAAAATCAAGTGGACACAATAACATATTCTTGAGAGCATCATAATAATTATTTCCCAACATGAAATTCACTTTGGACAATAGTTTGAATACTTCAAATAACCTCTGCCTCCAAACATCTAAACATATAATGTTTTACTCTGAAGATTGGTGAGTTAATAAATGATATTTACTTCCTTTTCCTTTTCTGTTGGGTTGGGGGAGAATTCTGGGTATTATATCAGATGAACTCATTCTAACCTTATTTAAGAATGTGATTCTTTTTTTTTTACATTAAAAATTTTCATCCAAAATAATTGGCATACACTAGCTTCTGTTTGAGTATCTGTATGGTACATATACATACGTATATAATACATAGCCAGAAGACATGAAAAAGTACTATCAAAAATATAGCAGTGCTAATCAGTTTTTTAAAAAAGTTGAACAATTAATAAACAGGTGACATTTGTAGAAACTAAAAGCATATCTATATTTTATTTTATTTATCGCATTTAGAAACTGCCCATCTCACTCATAGAGGGACTCGGTGTGATGTTTGGTTAAAAAATATCAATATAGCTCAGGCTTTTAATCGTATAAACCATCTATTGTTCCATTCTCTTAGTTTTAATGTAACATGTTATTTCAATTCAATAAAATAATATAGAGTATACTTGATTCTTAGTATTATA